GGGGTGGGGGAGGGAATGGGGATTTTGCAGCATATCCTTCCCTTGCCACGCCCACCAAGCCACGCCGACAGAACCGCTAGCAAAACAATTTGAATCCCACCACTGGCCCCGGGGGAATACTGACGTGTTGAGGACGTAAAGCACTGTGTGAATGATGTAGGGGATCAGGTGGACGTTGCTCTCCCGCCCACCACCGCCCGTGTCCACGCTGAACGACTGCTCCGTGGCAAACCGCAGGAAAAGCAGCTTGGTGTCGTGCACGTTGAGCTGGTAGGTGGGCTCCCGCTGCCCCGTACATTCCTGGAGGTAAGTGTTGTGCCTGTCGAGGGAGAAGAACCACAGGCGGATTAGGGCCCCCGGAGTCCCCCGGGCCCTAAGCACTGCCATTCGGGACCGATTCGGAGGGGAAAACGAGGTTAAGGAAGGATAAGCCACAAAAACAGATCCTTTTTTTTGGCAAGGGGGACACCTCACGAGACACACAAGGGCTCCTTCCTCCCCCCCTCCTCCTCCCAGGTGGGAGGATGCCTCTTGCCAGGTGCCACAGGTGTTCCAAGGAAAAGGGCATATCCTTCCAACTCACCTTGCCAAGCAGGTGGCAAAGGCAGATTCCGGGACGTGAGGCCCCCAGACTGGCAGGAGGCCGTTGCATTTGGTGTTGGCGTTCTGCAGGGCGGCGCTCTCCCACTCCTCGCGGCCTCGCGCCAACCTGCCAGGCGAACGAAAGTCACACCCGGGGCAGGAGCTCACCCAGCCCTACCCCAGAGGGCCAGGGTCCTTCAGGGATAAACCCAGGGGTGGGCTTTAAATTTTTTAGCAATGGGTTCTCTGCCCGGGGGCTGGGTGGGCGTGCCCAGGGTGGGCGTGCCCTAGTCAGCCTCCTGCACCATGGCGGGTGGGTGTGGGGCATTTTTGCCCTCCCTGGGCCCCGGACGCTTTTCTTGATCCTCTGGGAGGGCGAAAACAGCCTCCCCGGACTCCAGAAGTTCTCTGGAAGTTGGAAATGGGCCCATTTGCGGCGTTCCCACATTTCCGGGCGGCCCGTTTCTTTGCCTTCCCTGAACATCTGCGCGCACCGTCCCCTTACCTGCCTCCAAAATAGGCTGCGTGGGGACTCCAGCCAGGAGTGGGATTGGGGGGGGTTGTCCGAACGGCACAGAATCTTAGCTGGGGGGGGGGGGCGCTCTCTCCCAAACCCCTTGCCCTGGAGAACCCGCCCAATTAGCCGACCGGCTCCATACTGACCCACGTGGGGCTTCCTCACATCAATCGGGGCCCTGGCTTGAATGCCAAAGCCGCTGCCAACCGGGCTTCCTTACCTGACCGCCGCCAGGTGACAGTCGTAGTGGACGATGTTGAAGTGGGAGACCGTGCTGTAGCCCTGCTGCTTCCGAGGCTTGTTCTCAAACTCCTCCAGGGCCACCCGCTTGGTGAAGGTGTAAATGCCCAGGACCTTGGTGGGCTTGCGGCAGGAAAAAAAGGGCAGGTGGGGGTGAGCTGCCTCCCCCACTCACTCAAAAATCACTTTGGGGGGGGGAGGGGTGTCCCTCTCCTCTCCAGGGGTGGCCTGCACGTACTTTAACAACTGGTTCGCCTAGTGCAGAACTGAAACGGTGTGTGAGTGCGCGTGCGATATCCATGCTTGCGTGAGGCTGCAAACCATGGGGGATTTCCTGCACGTGGAAGCAGGGGTGTGTGGAATCCTACCGGTTCGGTCCGGTTCTACAGAACCGGTAGCGCAGAAGAGCAGCTGACACTGAACCGGTTCGCTGGGACGAGATTTTGGTCTGCTGTTTAGCCTGCCCACCCGCCCGGGCTCTAGGCTGTTCTTTAGCGGCTGTGTTTTCTTCCTCCTTAGCTGCTTTTGCGTGGCACAGCTGGAGAACGTTAAATCCTTGCCGGAGCTGGCAAGAGTGCGCATAGACGTCGGACGCGCATGCGCGCGCTCCCCAAACCGGTTGTTGTGCCGGTTGGATCTTACCCCTGCGCAGAAGCCAGGGTGAGTAGATCGGGCAAAGCGTGGAAAGCGCCTGGGTTGTGAGGGGGGGTCAAGTGAG